AGAAAAAACAAAATATCCAGAACGCAACTTGTTGTAAGTTGTAACATCATCCAGTTGCAATGAACAATTTTATTCCTATTTTCCTGAATATCGTATTCTTTCTGTCCAGATGAAAAAATTTGCTCATTGCCTGAATCGATGTGTGAGATTGAAGAAAACTCAACTCCTGCCTTTTAACAATGAGCATAGATCAAACAAAGGAAATCACAGGCCAAAATTGATTAATGTGCTTAAAAGAAAAGAAAGAGGCTAACCTGAGATTATGTCCAAGCAAGGCTGCTAATCGCAGCTGTCTAGTGCTCTGAACATCGCTGCAGGCACAGATCACATCAGTATCAGTGCACCGACCGTTCTGCTGCTTCTCCCAGAATAAGCGCAGTCCCCAATCTGCAGTTGGAGATTTTTGTGCAAGTACAGCTAGAGTCCCTTGCTGATGCAAGTAGAGAGTACTCCATCCGTCCCAAAATATAACTATTTCTAGCACATTATCTTGTTCCAAAATAAAGCTATTTCTTCACCTACCTCCTCCTCTCAACCAATCACAACCATTCTTCTTTACCTACTTTCTCTTTTCAACCAATCACACACTTCCTTCAATCATTCTCACCTACTTTCTTAATACCCGTGCCAACCTCAAAAATGTCTTCATTTTGGGACGGAGGAAGTATTAGCGATCTAGCACACACACACACACATAACTTGATTGCCGGCGGAATCCCACACACTGAATCTGAACGCGCAAAGGCTCCTGTCACAGAGGCATTTCGTCGAACACCCTATGGGCGTCAACCCAAAAAGGGGCACCAAACATGGCAATGGCAAAGATGTTTCTTGGTAGAGTGTTGATGCAATCAGTGGTTGCCAATGCTAACGCCAAGCCACTGGCCTTCAACTGGTTCCTCCCCTCCCCTGATCGGTGGAGCATTCGAGCTAGTCAGGATGGAGTAGCCATGGATGGAGACAAAATGCAGCTACCATCACAGAAAACAGAAATAGGAACAAAGGGTCCAGAAGCCGAGGCCGTAAAGTGTCCTGGGCTGGGCTGGACTGTCTGGCCTGCAATCAGCCGCGATCCTGTTCGGGCCATATTACATGGGCCGCACGAGAATCATAGTCAGTCCTGTTAAGGCCCATGGGCCGCACGTGATTGTAATCCCAAGCCCACAAAGGCCATAAAGGACTTTTGAAGGCCCTTCACAATGCGTGTACGTGGCGAGTTGCCTTACCGCACCAGCTCAACCTCGTGCCAACGTGTGGACTACTTGCGCAACCCTACTGAATTCCTCTATCTTTCACATGGAGACGCATTCTTCGGCTGCGCACGAGGATGCAAGGTGAAAAAATAAAAGGCGCTCGCGTTGTAGAGCTCGTGGCTCCCTTTAGTACAGCAGGAATATACGCTAGAGACACGCTAAAAAGGTAATAAGCACTGTGTGAGTTGATGGCCTTGGGCCGATTTGATAGCTTCAGCCGGGCTAGAGATGCTCTATGCGTGCTTTGCATTGCTATTGCCCTAAAAGCTCCTCGTGAGTCCAAATGAAAATGCGAAAAAATAATACCAAGGAGTCTGTGAGTTTGTGACCTCGTTGCCTTCCGAGCTGCGGCGACGGTGACACCGATCTTGAGCATCCATCTCGTCTCTTCTCCATCCTCTTTCCTGAGTGGTGTGTGTAGGAAATTTAACTATTTACCACTTTTACGTTTGGCAATTATTCATACGCTTTTTAGGTTTGTATTTACTAGTACTTGGAGAAAAAGGATTCTTAATTGTATGCCACTTTTGTCTATGTGACGAGATTGCCAACATGGATGGATGGTAACCCTCTTGTTCATTACACCTGTCAGCCTCTTCCATCCTCAATCTCTTCTCTCTATTTATTGCCAGCGTCATAGACAAACCCACCACCGACATACACAATGGCATTGCCAGAGGCGGAGACCTAGCCGCCAAACTCACCACCACCTTCTTCCCAACCTCGCGGCCGTCGGCGATGCCAAGAGTTGGCTCGTGAAGGCACTCCTCGTGGACCTGGGTGTACGAACCTGGAAGCCATCGCCACCGTAAGGGGCAACACGCTCCTGCTCTTCCATGTGGTTGTGTTTAGAGGTCACCCCCGCGCTCGCATTGCTCATCCTCCATAGAGCCCTAGCCTTCCTTAAGCTCCACTCGATATGCTCATGGCTTTGATTGACCTGATTTTTCGGTGAGTTGAGATAACTACGATTTTTGAGAGAAGTTGTCAATCCGACTACAATTGTACGAGATGTTGTTGTGTTGTGCCTTAGCTTCGATACACTTTTTTGTGGGTTGTTGATCTCGCTGATGCAGATCAACCTTATTATTGCAAGCAAAATCGAAGAAACAAGTAAGAACAAGATAAAAACAACCTGAATTGCAAATAGGAATTAAAGCCCATGATAAGTTGGGGTTCTGGAGACGAGTACTTAGGCGGTCTTGCCAGCACACGTAATTGTAGGGTAAAGTAGCAATGGCTAAACTTTAATCTAAACAAAACCCAAGAAACGTACCTAGCTATTTATCGAGGTGCGAGGATGAGCTAAGGGTCCCTAGGATCATCCTCCACCAGATTGGGGCGCACCCTACTTTACCCTAGGTCCCAGATGAAATTACAAGCCCATATGACTATTATATTAACGCAACTCATTGTTTTTGTGATTGCGGCCGACTAAGAGGGAATTTGAAGATGAGACTGGATTTGATGAACCCAAAACAGAGCTCATATGCATATTTAGCAGCTCTTTGAAGACAAACAATGTAGCAGGTGGCCGGATCGGGTTCTAACATTTGGACGACTTATCTTGATATCTTTTTATTGATCCATGATATGAACAATAGTTATATCCATAGTAGGCATGATAACATCACACACCCCACTCCACCTTGCAGCCCGTGTCAGGGCGCACAAGGCCGCCGCGTTCTTCTCCTCTGCCACCGTGGTCGCCTCGTCCCCGTCCTTGCGCACCAACAACAGGCGCGGCGAGGGTCCGCTCCACTACGCGGTGCGCATGCAGCGAGCATGAGGCATGATAACATCACACACCCCACTCCACCTCGCAGCCCGTGGGGTCATCTTCGATCTTTTCAGCTGTATACTTCTCACCAGACAACATGAGAGACTAGAGCATATGCTTTGCTCCTCCACATCTAGCTTAGCTTGTCCATGTTGCATAGCAATCTGCAACCTGCTTCTTGCTCCTGATGGAGGCAGAAGCGCCCGCTTGCTTGCTGCTCTGCTTTCCATGAGGTTTCTTCTATGCGTGGGCTGGCGGAGCTGTGCGGTGGCGCAGGGGAGTCCCTGGTGTACATGGTGGCAGTGGCTTCCAAGGCTGATTTGGCGGTGGGTTTGGCGACAGTGCAGGCAGTAAACAGAGAGAAAAGAGATGGAGGATGAGGGAAGAGGGTGACACGTGGGATCCACATGAGGGCAAAATTGATAATTCACACCATCCACCCATCCATGCTGGCGATCTGATTATTCTTCTACATGGATAAAAATGGTATAAAATTAAGATTTCTTCTCTCTCCAATGATAAATTAGTATGTGCAAACTTAAGAGAAGTACTTGGATAATCCCCAAATGTAAAAGTGGCAAATAGTTAAATTTTCTGGCATGGGCAACGGCTATGCCCTCAATAAGGCTTGAGCGACAGTGCGACACTGCCTCGTCTCCTTTCTCCTCCACAACCGCCCATCGTGTACCCGTCCTAGACCACCGCTCGATCCACCCTTCCTCTCCTCTCTTCTCATCTCTTCCCTTTGTCTCCTCTACGCTAACAGTGAAGTTCGGTCTCTTCTCCGACAAAGGCCGGGGGAGCTCAAGCTTAGATGGGCTCGCCGGTCGCCTCCCTCACTATCAACTCGTAAACATCGTGCGTGGTGGGAAAGAAAGAGAAGAAAGAAGTTTGACACTGATACGTGGGCATCACATATATTTCTTTATTTTTTTACTTCTCACTTTACATGTGGCTCATGTTTTTTTATTTTCTTTTTATTGACTAGGATGCTACGTCAGCGAAACCAACCACCCATACCACCACATTCACTCTGCCATGAGATCCAATTTAACTTGGTTTAGGGATATGATTTAAACTCGATTGCAGGTGGACTTATTCCCAGTCGAAATGCCATTCGAAAAATGTTAGACCTTGTTCGGCTAATTCCACCCACAAAGATCTCAATCCCCTCCTCGTGGGAATAACCGAACAAGACCTTATATATGTCATAAAAGAGTCGCAATTACGGATGGCAACGGGACTGGGCCGGGCTAAGTTGGGTTGGAATGGCCCCAACCCAACTCCTAGAGTGGAGGGAGGTTTGAAACCGATCCCCGCCCCACCCCCTCTGGGGACCTGCCACATGATGGGGGCTTGCTGCACTCGCATGCAAGGACGCTTAGAGGAGGGGGTGTGGCCGCACGTCACGTCGACAAGAGGAGATGGCGAGGCCGCGCGGCGGCGGGTAGAGGCACGCCTGGGCAGAGGTGGAGTGGAGATGGAGGCCGCGCGATGGCGGTTGTTGGCACAGTGACGGGCGGAGGCAGTGTGATGTCGGCCAACCGATAGCGGCTGTGGAGGATGGATGACGGGAGTGAGAGTAGAGTGTGGAGGATTGAGGAATTGGGGTTTAGTTTTTATATGGCTCACTTATTGGGTCAACTAAACTTGTATTATTGGAATGGACTACTTTATATGACATATCTCATATCCAGAGGTCCCATCGGGTTACTCGTGGGTGACTGATGATCTTTATCCCCGTTCCCGGAAATTTGCGGGGCCCATCCCCACTCACCCATGGGTGAGAACTGCCCCCCATCACTGCCCCGTAGGGGCGAGCCCCCGCCGGATCCCTGGCCCCAATGTGAAATCAACCCCAAGTCTCAATCCCGTTCAGGCCCATGGGCCGCACGCGACTGTAATCCCAAGCCCACAAGGGCCCATCAGGCCTTATTAAGAGCTCCCCGCGAGTCCAAACCCAAAACGCGAAAAAACAAAACAGAAAAAAACAAAAAAAAAACAATAAAGGAGAAGCAGCTCCATCCAAGTCCACTCCAGCGCCGCCGCTACTCCCGCTCCCCACCGGCGCGCGCCGCCGTCTCCCCCCACGCCGGCGCCGCCGTGTACCGGGGCTCCCGACTTCCCCTTCCACCGGAGCTGCTCTTCGGCCTCCTCCCCCTTCGCCGGCCGCAGCAGCAGAAGCACCCAGCGCCCGTGAGCCCGAGTCGCCCCCCACCTCGGCGAGGCCTTGACCTAGGCTGGTAAGCCCTTCTTCGAATCACTCCGCTTTTACTTTCGCCCCCCAACTGTTGTGCGGTGGCCGCGTATTGCGCTAGAGCTGTCAATGGCTGGCTAGGATGGTTGTTGCCACTCAAACGGGACATCATATTGGCGATTGGCTGTTTTTTACTTTACAGTTTGGCATCAGATGTTATGTGCGAGGCCGCTAGGAACCGTGTAGCACAATCGTTACAAGGGAATTAACAAATTAGGAAGAATTTCGCGTTTTCTTGTTTTGTTTCGTTTTGTTTTTGTACGGTAGCGCGCTGTACATATCCTGTGGCTGTCAGAGATAATTTCTTCCCTAATTTTTTTTTTCATACCTGCCTGTCATGAAATATAATAGCAAATCGACAATGGTTTGGTGTGGCTGTCAGCCAAAGGGTGTTTCTAGTAGACAATCGGGACATCCACAAATGCGAAGGGGATGATTTTTTTTTTTTTTTTGGTAGAGAGCACCACACCAGATTTACAACAGAGTTTTTAGTCTTGTCTCGGATGTTAGTTACAGTGTCTATACTGAAAACCTCAATGTCATATTTAGTTATTCTGTAGGACAATAACCAACAAATAAACGGGCAGAACTTCTTGACCAAGTACATATTCTGAAGGTTCTAAGGCAGAACTTCTTGACCAAGTACACATTCCGAAGGTTCTAACTTTTATATAGCACCATTAGTTAATTGCTACTCATTGCCTCTCTGATTGGCAACAGATAATCAATCTGGATCACTTTTTGATTAGTACCATCCTCACACTGGCCCTAAACATGGTACGATTTACGTCCACAAGGGATGAATCATGCACACAAGAAACAAATCATTTTGTGCAAAAGATTCATCCCGGACCTCTTGCTTTTGGGGACCCAATTTCTTATTGTATGGTCTCAGAACGTAAACAAATAATATGGTTCTATCCTCCATTTACATGTATACAGATGCCCCCTCCCAACCTCTGAATTTAAAATTTGAAATAACACGATATAGTTCTGCTATGATTGATATGTTGTAGTACATAACAGCTATTCTACCAGTTGATATGGTTCAAGGCCGCAATGCTGTACCGGTCCAGTTATGACCGCTGTTGCACACATTCTGTACAAATACAATTCGGGGTTTCATACGTTCTAGACACCATCCGCTTTGAACCCTTCAAAACTTGAGACATGCAAAATTAATTGTGGTAATCCTAATAAAACATAAGTTTTTTCACCATAAAATATAGATGTAATCCTAAAATAGGCCAAGTTATTTTAGCGTGCATGTGTTGTGCCTGCTGTAGAAACACTTCACTGCTAAATTTCCTCTACCCATTCTTCAAATAGTGAGTTGCACCAGAGATGCAACCAATGGCTACATGAGTGCAAGTAGGTCAAAGAACTTGAAGGTTGCTAAATTTGTTAACTAACCATATTAAAGTGAATCATGCCAGTACAAAACTGTGATTGATATTTTTTTGGTGAAATTGGTGATGAAAAATAGAATCAAGTGCCCTACCAACTAAACAAGATTAGAAACGAATTTGCAAAAACTGCCAAGTTCTGTAATCTACTTGCATTAGCATCCACCTTGGGAACTTGCAAATTCTTCTACCTATAGGCTACTGTTCAGTTTACTCTTCTTTAAAGCATTTCTTGTCACTTGCAGTGATTTCTGGCTGTCTAACTACGTAAATTCATAGGCCCTGTTTGGTATGGCTCCAATTCAAAGTTCAAGGTCCAATTCAAAGTTCAAGGTTGGGACTGCTTCATGTTGGAGTTGGGGTTGATTTAGGAAGGTGTTTGGCCAGATGGTTAGCTCCAACTGTAATAATATCACTATTTCAAGCTGGCACAAAAACAAGCATCCTGCATTTATTTCAGCTCATCCTCGGTCACCACTCCTTGTCCCAACTGTACCCTCCACCTACCACCGTAGATGTAAAGTCATGTGAAGTTGACCATTTGGCAATCAATATCAAAGAGGATATGAAATCTGTTTTTTGGTCTAATTGTAACCTTCATCACCAAATCAAATCCTGCCTCTGGCATCCAAGTTTAGCCATACAAGTGTAGAACTGTTTACATGTATCGTCCAAGAAATATATTAGACCATATATTAAATTGATAATCTGTGAGATAGCCTGTAGGCATAGGCACATTGATCCAATGAGGGAATTTTTTCAAAAGAGAGTAACCAATGGGGACCTTGTAATTTGTCAATTAGGGACTAGGGAGAGGTGCCCATGATAATTAAATAGTACTATTGTAGGCTGATATCGGTGGGGGCCCAGCCACTGGTTGGGCCCCATGCATGTCGCAAATGTCTACATGATTTATATTTATCCAGTTATTTTAGTCGGAAAGTGGAGTTTCTAGATTATTCTTGAAACTTCTGATGGTGCTAGGTCTTAACATAAGTAAATTACTTTGTTACTCAAAAGAGCAGCTATCACCACACCTGGCAATACTCCTAATTGAGCAGGATTATGTCATTTATTCCATTATTAATATTAATTAATGAATTTGGCAGCTAAGAAATACATTCTGCCCTGCTGGATCTGCATTCCCCATATCCCCTTCCATAAAGGACCCCTCATTCCCCTTCTGCGCCTGGTCATATTTGCGCACTCCATTTCGATCTGCCTGTGCGCAGGAAAGAAGTCGAGCAAATCAATCCCCAAATCCTCTCATATAATTCGCAAGCACCTTGCCACCACCGTTCTTCGACCGGATCCTATCAAGAGAAAAACTCTTCTCTTTCCACTATTGGAGATCTGACTACTTTCCTTGGTAAGCCCTAGCTTTGATTGGTTCTACTTTGCCCTAATTTTCTCCCATGAGCACTCAGGTTTACTTGTAGGATCCAATCCCTTTCTTGGATAATCCATTAATTTCAATTTTTTTTTGATTTGACTGATCTAATATCTTCATAGGGTTCCTTTCACGGGCACTCGTCTGTGCTTCTATGTGCTGATTTTGGTGGATTCCAGTGTACCGAGCTTTTCGTCGACAAGGATGCCTGGCCTACCTTTGACTGACCATGATGCAGTGTACGCAAATGCCAACTATGTTAATTGCTATGCCTTGTTCATGCTATTTGTTTCTTCTTTTACCATCCCCATGATGCTTCTTTGTGAACTGAAGCAAGGGGCAGATTTTCTGTTATGCTTGGATAATTGGATAGGAACACAAAATTGTGCCATGGTGCCCTCCACAGCCCCGTTATCAACACCATCCACCCACACCCATCCCTCCCCCTCTATAATACCTGCACTAATCGAGGAATAAACGCAAAGCAGATAGGTCTATTAGTCTTCTAAGAATCTAATGCTAGTTTTGGATGGGTTAGCATGCATCAGACCCTTCTCTGTTGAACATGTTATGTATTTCCCCAACAAACGAAAAAATGGCATGGCACATGTCCAGGGTCAGTCCTTATCATCAGTGATTTAGGATTTTAGAAAGTAAAGAGCCCTTTCAAATAAATTGATTGGAAACTTTCTAGTATTTAAGTTCCAATGGATTGACAGAGAACTTCGAAACCACATTGGAAGAACTCTTAAAACTCAGTTTATGTTCGAAAAACATTCAAAATTGATTCAAACCTTCAAATTGGAACTTTTGAGTCGGTATCAGGAAAACTTCAATTAAAAATCGATTGGAATTTGGAAGGAGGGAGAAAAAAAAAGGAATTTTTAACTAGGTAGTCAGTTGAATTTATAATTACAGGTACAAAGAATGATGGAAAATAGTCCAACATGCATATGTTTTATGAATGGTAGGAGGAATCTGACATACAGGCCTGAATCACTGACTGGTTGCTAAGGCCAAAGTTACATGTATGTGATATCTGGTTTCTAGTTGATTTAGTGAAACATGATGATGTTTAGGTTGATGGTATGATCATGGAAGGGATACTTTAGTGAGGTGGAATGGACATGTAGTAGTTTTAGATCCCTTGTCTCTCTCACCAACTTAGTCTTCTTAAGTTGTAAAAGAATAGCTAATTTTATGGTTGATGATTGGTCAGCATAAATCAACCTTGGCTTGTATCTTGAATTTAATCATGTCATTTGTATGTAGTTCAGTTTATTTATAGATTGGAGCCATTTCTATATGTTGGATAGGTTTAAAAGCTATTCTATATTTTTATTCAAGTGTGTTTATATACAGGAATACCGGATGTGAATTTGATTGTCAGAGGTCTTCAGACCAGATGTGCTGTGAGCACTCTGTCGCTCAGTTCTCTTCAGATCAACAACTTAACCCTGAAGAAAATTTAGCTTTATACTGCAAGCCACTTGAGTTGTACAACTTTATTCGACACCGAGCCATTGAAAATGTAAATCTCATCATGAAAACCTTGTCTTCTGATATGGTTTAGATAAGCATGCTCAGTATGTCTCATTTTGCAGCCTCCTTATCTTCAAAGATGCCTTCTTTATAAGATACGTGCAAAACAAAAAAAAAGGTATGTCTCATTGATCCTTGAGTGGTTTAAGTCTGAACTACTTCCACCCTATGCATGTACCATTCATATTCAGCTAAGCATCTTGAGAACTGATTGATATTCTTACATTTTTTTTCTTTATATTATGGCCCAGTTCTTTTCAGCTACTTCATCGGATTCTTACGGTGGATTATTTGCTCCACGTCTGTAAAAAAACATTTTTTTCACTGCATTGATAGACCACTTGTTCTAAGCTATTTATTATTAATTCTAAAAATATTTAATTTGTTCCTACAATCAAGCAGATAATCTGTTTCAAACTGGGCCTATGTATACATTTAAATTCACCACCTGGCCTTATGGAAGAAAGGAGTGAAATCATAGGAATCCAATAGGAATAATCTGTTTAGTCTATAGGAATTTCACAAGAATTCAAACGTGAAATCCAGCATGTTGGGAATTTTCATAATGCTACTCTCTCTCTAAATTAACGTACCTGTTTCTTCAAAGCATCTTCATAGCTCAATTGAAAAAATCACATGTTTTGGAAAACCTTAGGATTCAACTTGATGTGCATCCCCAATTCCTGTTTCGTTTTTTTTTCCTGTTCCTTTGTTTTTCCTGTTATGCCAAAGAGGCCCTAACTGATACTGGTATATGTAATATGTGACACAATTTTGACTCTTATCCAGCAGTTTCAGTTGCTGAAAGACAGTCAGAATCGTTTGGATTAAATATGCCAAAACTCAAAAGGAAAAAAATTATTCTGATTCACAAAGCAGTTCCTTCTGCTGATAGTGCAGAGTTATGAGTATGACTCCAACATGGTTTAAAAGAAACATATGGAAATTATATTATGTTGGTTGTTCTAAAGCACCTACAAGACAATCTTATTTTAAATTGCATGCTCCCTCTGTCCTAGAAAAAACCAACTTCTGGTGAAGTTGGTTTCTTTCTGGGACGGAGGGAATACTTGACTAGTTAAATATTAAATTGGGAAGTGCATATTCTGTTTAAGTGGAAAATTATATGTTTCCTGTATTCTTTGAACATTTGGGTGGATCAGAACTTAAAATTTAGACTCCAGCAGCAGCTGGGCTCTCAAGTGTGGACAGTTGCATAGATGAAGCCTAATTCGTTCCCATATGTAGTTTTCTTATAACATAAACCTGACTCAAATTATTTTTCGAGAGTAATCTTTTTGATAAAGCGTGATTGAATTTTGAAACTTATTTGTTGCAAACTCTGATTTGCATCTGTGTTCATGAATGTAGGATACAGATAACTATATCATTACCTGGAAGTAACAATAAGGAATTGCAAGCACAGAATATCTTTCCTCTGTATGTTCTGTTTGCTAGACCTACTTCAAATGTTCCTATAGAAGGAGTAAGTGTTGTTTCTGTAGTTCATGAAATGACTTATTATTTATTCTGTCTACTACTTCTCTTCTCATCTATGGCTTGATATTGCAGCATTCTCCAATATATCGGTTCAGTCAGGCCCGTTTGCTTACTTCCTTTAATGACTCTGGGAATAATGACCGTGCTGAAGCCACATTTGTTATTCCTGATCTGGAGACTTTAATTGCCACCCAAGCTTATGGTCTTACTTTTATCCTTGTTAGCCGCGGTACCAAAAAAAATAAAGGGCGAACTGGACAAAATCTTTGTGAAAATGACTGTTCTGAGAAACATGTGGACTACTCTTCTCTCCGAAGTAAGTCTGTGATCGAACTGAATAATTGGTACAGTGTAATAACTTTTTGCTTCCTTATGCCATGGATGATGTAATTACACAAAGAATCAATTCTTAACTAATGGACACAGAGGCGTCTGCTCTCCTCCATAACCAAGATATGAAAGCACAACATTTCCATTTTAGAGAAAATACCGAAGGCCTCTTCTGTATGTCTACTGAATCTCAGCATCCCATGATGTTCAGTATCCAGCTGACATCCACATCAACCGGAAAACAACTAACCTGTTAAAGTTTTAATCCTTAGCTCCAGGTGGTATACTGTATATAGTTACTAGTAGCATGCCAACTCTTCTCATTGATGTGGACTCATGGGGAACAAAGTCAGCATTGTACAGTTTTACTCAACTTGAAAGCTAATATTTAAGAAATGACTTGCCATTTTAGCTAAGCAGTACTGGTTATTTTTGCCTGTCTTTACTGGTTTTAACATGATCAAGTGAATAAAATACCATCAAACATTGTTTGTTTAGTCTACTGAGAGATCCACATACTAGACCATTTTCATGAGTAATACAGATCCTTTAGTTCCTTCTGTAGAGGGCTTTCTCATTATTGGAATTTCCACTCTTACAGATTCCGATTCTAAAACATGCGCCTTTACAAATTAAGCATAAAAAAATATGCAATTTTGTATCTCGTGGATAATTAGGCTTTTTTTTTTGTTTTTGCGGGTAATTAGGCTTGTTGTCTTGTTGAATGGACTAACTATTGTTTCATATGCATTTTCAGAGCTTGCAGGGAAATGTTTCTGGGGTAAAATTCCGATCACTTTACTTAATTCATCTTTGGAGACTTGTGCGGATTTAATTTTGGGGCATATAGTGGAGTCACCTATCAGTATATGTATGAGCCCAGGCTACTTAGAGGTTAACTCCAGTGTCCTTAAAACATATAGCTTATTCTGACATTTCATTATCTTCTTCTGAGCATGTCAATTTTCCATCTAATTCACAATCATAGGATAGACAGCCACTGGCTTTCATGGCATAAGAAACCTGTTTTAGGGGGAAAAAAAGATGCCATCTAACCTGCCTGCATCTGCACTTCACTTGATTTTTGATGATTTAGGACATGTAACTTCTGATTATGCAAATTGCTACTCTTGGACAATATTTGCCACATTTACTTTTGTATTTTGCGCAAAAACTATCTGTGCTTCAGAATTTGCTGCTACTTTACAGTTCTACTAGTGGTGATGCTAATCAACATGGACTGTTTAATTGAAAATTTTGGATTCTCACAGAAGTGGAACATTTATTTTGTAGGAGTGATAAGTGCTTGTTTAAATTGACACATACTAAGCGATTCAATAGTACAGGTGGAAAATTGCCTAATTAAATTTATGTCTTGTCCTAAGTTATCATTGTTTGATGAATTATAAAAAATTGTAGCACAGGCTGGAACCTGCAGTTACAAAAGTTTCCTGGAATCTCGTGCAAGTTCTCCGTGTTTTCCTTCCTATGCCCCTTGTATTCTGCTATCCTCCTTGTTTACCGTGGAAACTATATGTTGACACTACTTTTATCTTTTGATAACGCATGTGCAGCCAACATTTCTTGAGCATGACAATTGCTTGTCATTTTGTTCCCGTAAAGCTGATGCTATGGTAAGTTCTTATTTCTTTGTTTAATATCATTATTGCTTTCAGTTTCCAAATTTATGTAATAGCTGATAAATATTGTTTACGGTGTACATGAACACTATCGTTTGCTTATTTCTCTATGTTTAATCTAATCAAGTAATCATTGCTTCCAACTTTTGAAATTGCTGTGGGGTATATAATATTATAGTGTACTTGATCACTTTGGTTTGCTGACAAGTACAAATTACTTCATGTATGTAGCTTTACTGAGACTATTGATCTTTGCTATTACAGGTTCCATATCAGTTGCAAGTAAAAGTATCTGCAGCAGAGGCTGGTGCAAAAGACATACTCAAATCTCCGTATAATTCCTTCTCATATAGTGACGTCCCACCATCCTTATTACTGCGTATTGTAAGGTAACTTGTATCCCAGCTATGCATGGCTCATGTTCTGTAATGTTATGAGTTATTCAGCCGACAGTTCTTATTTCTCACTTTATTGTTACCCAGTATAATAAGAAAAAATATGTTTTTCACTCTTATGTGCTTTTATCCCTAATATGTGAGACTTCATCTGCTCATTGGACTATACTCCCCCGTCCCCAGTCACATAAACATGTATTTTCTCGAATATGCAGGAGAACTGCATATCATTGCATTAAGGAGAGAAAATATTTGCAAGACACACTCACACTTCCCAGTCACTACATGTCATCCTAAATTCCTAATACTAAGTTTTACCAAAGATACTGTCTCAATTACATGTAGTTTGGATGTATTTGAAAAGCAGGATAAATTCCATTATGAATAAGAATTCCATAAGAAAGCCAAAGTGGATTATTGTTGTCCTTGGAAAAGTAGAAAATTCCCCTGATGAAGGTCCTGATGTGAAGCTTTGCACAGTTCTTTTTCTTGGCTTAAGCTGCACTTGACCCCATCTAGGTTGAGTTTGTTGCAGTACTATGCTTTTTTTTTAGGGCACTGCAGTACTATGCTAATACCATGGTAAAACCACTCTTATGAAATTCTGTAAGGACTGGGTTTTATTATTCGGATTGAGGAGCTCCAAAATAGCCTCTTAGGGTCAGGCTGAGGTCCAGGTAGCGCGGTGCCGGTGCCTGGCCTGCCTGGGTGATATTCATCATGCCTAGTTATATTACCTTGCTCTGGTTTGTTCATTATCTAATGCATTTCAATTCTGGTGTAACAAATTTCACTTTGAGAAGTTCTTTTTGTACAGGCTAAGAGTTGGAAATGTGCTCTTTAACTACAAGAACACACAAATGAGTGAAGGTTATCCTCCCCCTCCTTCCCTCCCTCCCTCTCCCTCCAAAGAGAAAAGGAAAAGAAAAGGAAGAACTGCTGTTGGCCAATAATGAAGATCAATACATGCTTTGCAACTATCTGTTTTACTTTAGTTTTGCATCATTTTCTGTTTTCCTAATGATTCTTTAATTTCTTCTTACCAGTAACGGAAGATTTTACTTGCCCGTTTTGCTTGGTACGGTGTGGGAACTTCAAGGTAAAGTCCGAAGCAGTGTTTCTTTATGTTGTGTTTGCTCATTTCACTGGTTGGCTGGCATATGGTTCCTGTCACCTGCTACATTTTTTTATGAAAGCTATCCATTCTCCATTTTGTACTGTACCTTTTATGTTGATGAAAATTAAAAAAAAGTTGGTCCATATTTTCATACATCTTCATACGAAAGCAATACCCTTTTGTGTTTCCTGCTTTCCTGTTAGAAGTCACATCTAATATTGTGATTTTGTGCAACATTAGGGTCTGGAATGTCACATGACTTCATCACATGATCTGTTCCACTACGAATTCTGGGTGAGTAAATATCTGAAGTCTGAATTGCACAGTATCCTTCAATCATACTCATAGTAAGATAACTACTTTGTTTCTCTTGTCAAGACAGATATCTGAAGACTACCAGGCTGTTAATGTTACGCTGAAGAAAGATAACATGAGAACAGAGGTAAATTAGTGATAAAGGACATACACTGTACCTAATTGACCTAGGTTTGATGTATCAGGGTTGTGGGATCCAGCCCATGCAAACTAGCATAAATTTTACGTACATGGCTTAAAAGCTCCATTTCTATTTAATATTGATTTAAGTGAAAATCTTTGTTTTAGAACCATTACTCTCTTGAAAGACGGTGTTGGGCATGATGATGTGTTCTACACCCACTCCACTATAAAATCTTTTGTGGCTATAAATGTGTACTCATCTGTGTATTGTTTGTAAGATTTTCTAAAACAATTGTATAAAGCACACAAGGTTGCCAATGGGTCTCATATATGTAGATTTGTTTTGGATTTGAAGACAATTTCTTTTCAATTTATATTTTAGACTTATAACATATTTATTGGGATCCGTTACAACACGTGGGCATGATGCTAGATTGCTAGTATCTGGAAAAACTAACTGTCAACATAATTTACAGTTTGTGGCAGCAGAAGTTGATAATAGCCATCGGATCTTTTACTACCGGTATGTTTTTTTTTACATTAGCTGTAACAATGCTAAATCCTTTGTTCAATGTGCCTAACTGTGTTCCATCAGATCAAGGTTTAAAAAGAGTAGAACAGAAATACTTCCGGTTGCGCGTGCAGATGCACATATTATGGAATCAGGATCACCTGAAGAAACACAAGCGGAGTCTGAGGATGATGTCCAAGAGGAAAATGGTATATTTCTCGTCTTATGGTATCCTAGCATGCAAAACAAACTACATGCTAAAGGAAACATATTGGTATTTACAGTATTTTTTCTTTTCTATATTAAGTGGGTTGTAATCTGTTACGTGTCTACTCTTGGAGAATTATTTCTTTATTCTATGATAGCTTGTTAAAACTTGTTTATTCTGTGCCATCTTGTTAAAACAAAAGGGAAGCAAATGTAGCCTTGAATTACAGGTGTTCTCTCCTTTGTTTTCAACTTCAGTTCGGTTCTTTGTTGACAGTAAAAGTTCAACACTTAAACCACCACTACCTCCGTTTCATATTATAAGTTGCTTTGACTTTTTAAAAGTCAAACTTCTTGAAAGTTTGACCAAGTTTATAGGAAAATATAGCAATATTTATAGTACTAAATTAGTTTGATTAAATCTAACATTTAATATATTTTGATAGTATTTTGTTTTATGTTGAAAATATTACTACATTTTTCTATAAACTTGATCAAAACTAAAGAGTTTGTCTTAGAAAAAAGTCAAAATGACTTATATTATGAAACAGAGGTAGTACTATCTTTGTGTAGCTTTAGCTGAGAGCTTCTGAAATGGAAACCCCACCTACTAGTAAACCTATTCTTTGTAGATTTGCAATTATCATTCTGCTAGAATGTAAGGAAATGTCTACGCCATATCCTGGGGTTTCTCTTTCTCATTATTTTGGCATTTTGTGAAGTTTATGTTCTTATACTTGTTCCGCTGAAAATCTGTTCCATATGTTGTCCTGATGTTACTACAATTGAGGCATTTTCTTTCTAATTTCGTCTCTCTTTTTTCTTTTTGCAGAAAACGCTTTGATTGATGATTCTAAGAAATTACATGGTAGCAATCATTCACAATCAGAATTTCTGGCATTTGGGAAATCAAGGAAGCTATCAGCAAATCGAGCTGATCCCAGAAAGTAGTCCTCTGTTTATCTTCATGATATCATCTTACTGTTATATGGGTTTTTAATCTAACTTATTCTTCATTGCATTTATATTATCTGGCAGTCGTCTACTTCTGCAAAAACGTCAGTTCATCCATTCTCATAAGGCACAGGTGATCGAAAAAGGCCTCTTCTCATCTTTATTTTGTTTCTATTTTCAGTAAAACTTGGCCTCAAATTTGATAAGATCTATTTGAGGCTTCAGATATGCATTACTTGCAATGTTTTCTGAATTGGGGCTTTGTCTGCACTTTCTAAAACTTGCTTTTGTAGTTCTTTTTACTGACAGCTAGTGCTTCAGTCGTATATTATGTGTGAACAGATAATAGCCCAACTGTTGTCTTGATTATTTCATTCCCAATTACTAGTAGAAGATTATGTGTCGTGGTCCATCTCTAGCAGAATTTGGTGGGAAGCCATACTACATATTCCACTCTCAGCTAGATCCTTTTGAAGTGGCGTATGATGGCCTGGAAAAGTAATTGTATACAGATGGGGAAAAAATGTGAACACCAGAATGAGGATGTTGTCAATTTACTAAGATATGAAGTCGTAATAAACAAAGATGTGGTTTATATGCTTTTCTAGAAATTTTGGGTAAAGGTCACTGGACTGCATATATAAGATAGTATAACACCAGATCATGAAAGCATTGATCATGCACACACTCTCTCTCTGTGTTCTTTTTTACTAGTCATATTGAACATCAACATGGTCACCAAGACACCAATACACAATAAGGTAGGAAAAGGTTTGCTTATAACTCTGGACATTGTGAAACTCTGGAAATCGGACCTAAATCACGAAACTAAATATTTTACAACCTCAAATTCTCAAAACCTGTTGGATGGTTTGATTGTGGTTTTAGCCACATTAGCGTCCACATCTCATGTTTTCTGTTAACATGGCAGCTCACCCAGTAAAGTATTCCTTACCTTCCACATTGGTAAGATCTCGGGGGGTTTGGGGGCAATCAGGTGGCAAAACCTAGTGGCATGTCGATGCCATGTGAACAAAACCAATGTAACTTTAGTCTCACGGGTTTACATGAACTACTTAAGGAGTTTGTGTTCTTGCAGTTGGTGGTTGATTTTTCAGACTTTTGCAAGGTTTTAAGGTTGTACAATGGAGTTTTTCCTTAGAAATATAATGATATGAAAGTATTTTCGTGACAAATCATTCTCACATGCCAAATCCTAATATTCTTTTGCATATAATCATAGGATTTTGAAGTTCAATTGCACACATTCTAAAACATCTTTCTGAGAATGGAAAGAGTGGCTAACTAGAATACTAACATAAATATTTTGTCCTCCAAGATGTTTCAACTACATGATTATAGCTGGATTATCGTATAGCGGTGGGCGATCTTGTTAATTCATCTTGGGCAACATGGTTGACTATCCATATAGCTGAGACAATTGCATTTTTCAATGGAGGTTTAAACTTTATCTAGAAATGCAGAATGAACAAACATTAGCAAAAGTAAAAAATACATAATCAAAATTTGCTTTTACATTGGGCTTTTTTTTTTCATTTTCCTTTTTTTTTGCCATTTTCCGTTTCTATTATGCTGTCTTGTAACTGAGTAAAATACACCAACGGTCCTTAAAATTGTTTATCATCTCATTCCGGGCCTTAAAATGTTGAAAATGTAAATTAGAACCCTTAATTTTGTTAAATGTACAATCACTGTCCAAGACCCCTCTAGGAGATGACAAGGTGACCAACTTGGTGACGGCGGATGCCATGTCGGTAGTGAGTTGCACATGTGAAGTGAATATGCACAAATCCAGAGGTTATTGTGTGCTCCCTACTTTGCCAAACTGATGACCACAAACTGGTTTTGTGCACATTCGTCGTGCACTTGCGATTCACATGTGACATCGCTCGTGTTGCCAAGTTGGCATGCCATATTGGTTTGCAGAGGGGCCCATGCTCTTTGTGACTTGTTATAGTACATTTGGGCCCTGTTTTGGGAGCTTCTAGCAGCCGCAGCTTCTAGAATCTCTAGTTCCCCTAAACAGTCCAGATTCTCACCTAGATTCTGAGATCCTCACCCAAATGAACTAGAAGCCGTAAGATAGGAAACTTGGGTTTTCCAGATTCTCACCAGTTGTTTATGAGAATCTCAAGCTCCCCCATACAAGGTCTTACCAATAATAGGGGCCATAATCTGCATTTTCAAATTCCTTGGACCGGGATGAAGCTAGGAAACGAGTTTAAAGATTGCCGATGTATTTTACTCTTATCATAATGTTACTTGTTTCTTACCCTCTCCTTTTTCTTCTTAATATAATGATACGCAACTTGAATGCGTGTTCAAGAAAAAAAAAACTATTTGCATATTTCTTGTAGTTTATGCATGTATTTGAAATCAAGCTAATCATTATTTTTTATGTATTTTCATAGCCAATGACATTCGAAGAAGTTCTCTCAGATAATGATAGTGAAGATGAAGTAGATGATGATATTGCTGATTTGGAAGATAGAAGGGTAAGATGTGGCTATTTGATAATCTTTTTGGCTGAACATAGATTAAGTTCAAGCTCTACATTGCCATGAGCTCAAATCAATCTTCTATGGCTATTATTGCTGTTTTAACTTTTTTTAATTGATTTTTGTTTTAACTTTGCTGAGTAAATGCAGATGCTTGATGATTTTGTTGATGTTACAAAAGATGAGAAGCGCATTATGCACATGTGGAATTCATTTATTCGAAAACAAAGGTCAGGCATATCCCCAAAGTTTCATTGGCTCTATCAATGTAGGGTGTAGGCAGGAGTGTTTTGACCTGGTATTGCTTTTTTTTTTTGTTCATCAACTTGGCAGCTGAGCGAACCAACTATAATAATCTGTTCTTCAATCCATTTTATGTTTTAGCCATTTTTTGTGCTACTAAACAACTATTGGTAAGACCGTAAAACAGCCAGGGAATGGATAATTTTCTGGGAAGGGCATACATCAATTATCCGGCATTCCTTTCATGGCACAGTTTTCTTCACATTTTTTTTCATTTTTTGTGTAACATTCGGCATTCCTTTCATGGCACAATTTGCTTTCGCCATATTTTTCATTAGTTGTCCTGTGTAACACTCAATTGTTATGTTGTTTGGGTTCATTATTGTTTTACTATCTTAGCTGTAGCCCATTAATGACATCAGAACAATTAAAAGCCAGAGTGCATTCTTTGTCCTGAAGGGTAGATTAGAAAATGCTAGTAGAATTTTTCTTGTTTAAGCACTAGGTGTATATATGTTTCGGTTCTCTAACTGAAATATCTGGGTGCAGTATACTAGCTGATAGTCACGTACCTTGGGCTTGTGAGGCATTCTCCCGACATCATGGAGAAGAACTTTTAGAAAACTCCGCTTTACTATGGTAAGTTTAAATCTTATATTTGTTATACCTCTTATAGTTTTGTTTATTTGGAACACGTTTTGTCTGCAACAGGCAGTATTTTCATGTCCACACATACCTTTGGACTATTCTTGTTTACTTATTTATTTGATTTGCAATTCGCTCGCTGTATGAACAGGGGATGGCGCATGTTTATGATCAAACTCTGGAATCACAGTCTACTCTCTGCCCGCACAATGGACACCTGCAACAGAATTCTTGATGACATAAAAAATGAAAGATCAGATCCTAAGAAACAATGACGTGTAGGAAATATTGGCCAACTTGTGTACCATGGTGTTGATTCTGATCATTTCAAAGTTTCTTAAAAAAACATAAGCTTTCTCTGAAGCCTGAATGATCCAAAGTTAGAAACATATATGCTGAGGTTGTCATTGTTTTTACTTGGAGAAGCAGAGAACTATTCTCAATTCGATTCATTGATTAAAACTGAAGGGCCAGGTCCAGGGCCTGATAACAAACTTTCTTGTTCTGGATGACATTCAGTTCCAGCCAACACCTGGATAACGTGAGTTTACATGGACCATTCGTTGTTCAGCTCTGTGGAGCATTAATTTTTTTTTAATTTTCTTATTCAGCACCATTAAACTGGATGTATGCTAGTTATGTGAACTTCAGCGAGGAATATAGGATTCTGAAACAAATTTCCAAAGTTTGTGGTACTAAGTTTCATTTTAAAAACAGGTAACTACCTTTAAAATTGTTCTCGCGGTGAGATCTTATCTTTTTTTCAACTCGCGTGTCATGAATATTGTGTTCCTATATAATCCTCATAATTAGTATTACGGACGAATGTTTGAATTATTGCTAATCTCGTTTGCTTGCAACCAAATGCTCCTTTGGCTGCTAAATAGTCAATATTCTCCCTTTGGGTGAATGTGAAGCCATGGTGAAGGTCGTCGCTTTGCAATCAGTTAAACAACATAATCCAAGCAAATCCCAGAAGTTGAGAAAAGAAAAAAAAAACAGAATACAGTTCATATTTCATTAAGCTAAGACACAATACTCCACATGTGAAATTTGGCAAACTCATGGCAATCCAATGTCTCCACGACACGTTCTTAGACTCTTAGTTGTTGATCCCATTAGTTATGGCTGATTAGGTCAACTAGGATTTAATCCAAATCTTCCAATCATAGAGATGAACATGGGTTGGGTTAGTTGGGATGCAAACATATGCCAATCACAATTAACTAGAGGTAATGCACAGCACATTGCCCAAGTCAAACACCTTAAGTGACTTAACTTCACCATCTCTTCTTGTTCCCTTGATCTGTTGATGAAGAGAAGTTCTTCATGTCGGTCTAATTGTTTAATCTCTGCATTATCTCCCATACTATGTACAAGTCAATGGGTGGTAACTGATGGCTCCAATTTTATAATCTCTGCTCCTATGATGCTATATATAGCTGTGCCTGATCCACTTTATTACTGGTGAGAACAAAAGGAACACCCTTGCATATTGGTTTAATTTTTCGATAATGGAATTTACTAAAGCATCTTGCATAATGTTTATTGGGACTGTTACAAAAGAATAACTCTTGCAAATAGATATGGGGTTTGTTTGGGATGCAGAAATGATTTCTTGCAATCAGTAGTACAGTCCTTTCAAAAGAACATGGAATTCTTCCATACCAAACAGGGCCACATTGTCCATTGACAATATATTGATAGCATGTTCTTTCTTAGTTTGCAAAAGATAGGCGTCATTTCTCTCTCAAAGAGATGTCATTGTCAAGAACACACACACAAGCTGGTTGTACGTAATGCAAGAACTGGTCAGCTAGCTCATCACAGCACTTGACCCAACTCAGCTAGCTGCAGCCTGGCAACCAAATTGTAGCTAACATTCTCCTGTGAAAAGCTCTAAAAGGCAACCAAAGTGTCATAATGTAGTAGACAGAGGGTTCTGTTAATTTAAACTATGGTACTTCCTCCGTTTCATATTATAAGACTTTCTAGCATTGTTCACGTTCATATATATGTACCTAGATTCATTAACATCTATATGAATATGGACAATGCTAGAAAGTCTTATAACCTGAAACGGAGGTAGTAGATATCAGTTAAAATAGTTAATACAATTCAGCAAGACTTGGTGTGTGTTTTGCTATGAACGGGCAATGCTGTTACGTAAATCTTGGACTGTTAAACGGTCCAAGATGACGGATATATTTTGGAATGCATATCAAGCAAGAAATTAAGAAGAATGAATTGTTGAGTTCAGAGGTAGAGCTTAGTAAAAAAAAAAACTTCAGATTTCAGAGTAGATGCTAGTGATCCATTTGGCCGTGGAGTTCCGTAGAAGCAGGCAAGCAGCTTCCACTTGAATGGATACATACAAGACTTTGTATCCGTATGAATCTTCCCTTTTCTATTTATTATTTGGACAGAAAATAAAATGTAACAGCTGCCACTTGGGCCATGCCATGAGAAAAAGAAGAGAGGTGGGTGCCATGTCTTGCTACTAGCTAGCTAGTACAACATGCTATCACTCTACCAAGAAAAAAAACTAACCTTTTTATTAATTGTTGAGTGTTAATCCCTGATCTTCTCAAGGATGCATTTATAGGATGCCAATCAATTATAAATGAGATTATTATTCCCAAATTAATTCCATTTCAGGACACTTGAGAGAGAGGTTAGAGAGAGAGAGAGAGAGAGATTTGGGGATAGTGAGGCAGTTGCTTACACTTACACCATCTCCACTACTAGGCTACTAGTACACACCACACACACACACACACACTATAAAGTATAGCTGCAACTTACAGGAAAGGCAACAGCCGTAGCTGCCTGCCTGCCTGCCTGCCTGCTGTTTTTAATAGAAGTGGGGCGCAAGCAAGCCATCCATCCATCCTAACCTCTGACCTGCACAATTAGTTTAGTGCTAATTAACGGTTTAACACGGTATCAGATGACATCATCACTCCTTTTATCATTAGCATGTTCAGTGTTGAGTGACAATTGAATTGAATGATTCTAGGGGCTATAATCAAAAGGGACCATATGGAATGTGGATGAATTGGAGGCAGTTATACTTAACACTTGATGATGACTTGACCTATAGTAGATGCACCATATTTGTGACACTCAAATTCTGCCCAATTCCAAATGATACCTAGATGTGCGATTTGTTTGGAAAATCATTTATAAAAGAGTTAGCAATGCTAGCTTATATGTAATATATGCAGAATGACGTTATTTCGGCGGCGTTCGCAAAAAAAAAAGACGTTATTTCGGCTACTTAATTTCTTATAGTTTACTCATATATAGGAATTGAAGGCTAAGTAACTTCTTATGGAATTTAACTATAAATGTAGTGCGGCAATGAAAAGTAAAAAAAAACATAAAGTGAAGCAATGATGAATTAATGTGAAAAACAAGTAAAGGAGAAAAAATATTTTCTGTTTTTTAGTACTTTGCAATCAGGGAATTAAAACAATGGAGTTGGAAGAAAAGGCAAAGAAAGAGAAGTAGTCCTTTTTATTTGAAAGAGGGCTCTCTTTTTTGGAGCTTAAATCACTTCATTTTCACTTCAAGTCCCAACCATGACTTTCCACCTATTCTCTTCTAATCTTTTATGCAAAAACAGTATATTGATATGCTCATTCTCGAGCTGGACAAACAGGGTGTTGACAACCTAATTAATTTCACGGTAGTTGTTCAATGATGAAACGAAGGCCTCAACCACTGCACAGTCTCAGATTTTGTGTATGTATATTCTTGAACGTAGCATATACACACAGATGCATGCTATATATTGATGATTAAATCTGAATTTAGTTTCATTTGAAAAAAAATCAAAAGAACTTAGGAGTATTAATTAGGAAGAAAGTTACATCGCTGCATCAAGAAAATGGGCTTATTGGTAGTATTCCTTCTGATTCCCAATTTATGTAGATCACTTTAGCCCCCTTTTTTTTAGAACTGCCTCCTCAATTCTTTCCTAATTAAATAATTAAATAGGACAATATGTTTTAGAAATGTTATGCATTTTTCACTTTTATTCCATGTTGTCCCTTATCAAATATATATAATAACATACTCACAAATAAATGAATCGTCCTTCAATTCCAGTGTATTATTAATGAAGGCCAGCAAAATTATTTGAACTACTTTCTTAATTCTTGTGGAATTAATCAAAGGGAGTATAAAGGAACCAGCCAGTCAACACTGACCCACTCAGATCAACTGGTTACTGGTGTGTCTTTGTCTTGTACACTGTTAATTAATTTTCTCACTCGTAAATTAAAACAAAATTTGCTAGTTAGTATAGTGATGAAATTATTTAGATGGAAAAGGACCGGATGGCACATACATGAATATGTATCCAAACAGAATAGTAGCTGTTTCATTGTAATTTTCATCTGCCAGTGACACATTGGCCTTGTGCTATTGGCTGATAGCATGACACCCTGAAATGATCTCCACATTACAAGGAGGAGCACAAGAGCCATTAAACATTGGGTGGTACAATGCTAGAGATATTGTCAATGGTGGCGACGGCGGCGCCCAATGGCTGTTACATCCTCCATTGGTGTGGTGCCAATTTTTGTACGGCCTGGCACTTTTGATTGAGCAATTTACATGTTACACCCTCGGTCACAAATATAAGCATTCAGAAGTTAATTAGAACATCAACCACAGTCTTTAATATGCTACTTTGAACAATATAATATATTTGAAGATAAAATATTTTAAATAGAAAACTTGTATAATATGATAGTTTGTTTGACGATAAATCTAGTAATATTATTCTTACATTCTCAGACTTTATGGAACTTTTCTTTTGACCGCTAAAGTTGAAAAGGTTTGACTTTGCACTTTTCCAAAAATACTTAAAATTGTGGACGAAGGGATATATTGCAAACCTAATTTTGATTAAGCATTGGCTCATTATTGTGCCGGCCATCCTATATGTACAAGTATGCATGTTACTACTAATTACCTTCAGTGACCTAACACTATTTCTGGCAACAAATATGTATAGCTTTTGTAATACGTTAACCCCACATGGACACATATACATGATTGAGCCAAAGTAGAAATAACACCCTATTGACAAAAAATAAAACCATTTTGATCACTGATGCGTAGAGCAAAACTTGGTCAACCGGTCAATAATTAACAAACACATACGTTACCGTCACCTACATGGCTACAATACGTATATATATCCAACCATAAACGCTACCGTATACGAATGCAAACATATATACGTCTACCATTTTTTTTAAAAGAAAAACACACATGCGTCTACGTACTGAACAACCCAAAGAATGCACACCATTAATTTTGCTTCAATTTGTTGAATTATTGTCCCTGCAAAAATTCCACCTGTCCCCAAAATAACCAAATATGAATGAAGCCATAGAAATACGAATAATGTAATAAAAATAATGTACTAATAAAACTTTTACTCCCTTCAGATTAATAATACTTGTTGCTTTGAACAAGGAGATGCTCAAATTTTAAAAACTGTAACTATGAATTACATCTAATATATTTGTGTCCTATAAATATGGATACCATATGTATAGATTAGTCACTTCAATAAAATTATATATTAATTGATATTTCTATATATATTGTAATAAAAAAATAGTGTTCAAAAGTTATTTTTTTAAGATCGTCTTCTTGCCAAAAAAAGATAAGTACTATTATCAATTCGGAGGAAGTATATCTGTATTATCCATAATTTAAAACCTAGTGCACCAAAATTAATCACTACGATTAAAAAGAAACCTCGAAATCAACTCTAAAATTACAGTTTCAAAATTAAAATTCTGGTTGTGGCTGATAAAGCAACACGTAGTAGACAATAAATGAAGAAAAGAGAAGAAGAAGGAGAAGAATTAAGCAGCAGCAGCTAGCAATATATGCCCCAACTCATCCATGATCCACTAGCATATTGCCACATTATATTGCCAGCCATATATATACATATATACATATAAATACATACATATATGTGTGTTGGCTGCTAGCCCTCACTTGTTGACATTCACTTTTTTATTCCATTTCTTCCCTCCTTCCCTTCCTTCCTTCCTTTGCATCATCATCATCAACCCAATACACCAAGTGACCATTCCATTCCATTCCATTCCTTCTCCCCAAGCTACCACCACCATCTTCTCCTTCTTCTTCCTCTCCTCTCCTCTTCTTGATCTCTCTCTCGCCATAGCCAACCTTTTCCTTGCCACTCTTGCACACTCCACCTCCTATTCCCTTCCTCTCTTCTTGTTGCCTTCTTGGAGGAAGAAGGCCGGCGCGCGCGCGCCATGGGCGTCCAGGAGGAGGCCGCGCTCGCCGCCGCCGTCGTCAAGGGCAAGCGGAGCAAGCGCCAGCGGGCGCACGCGGCGGTGGTCCCGATCGCCGCGTCGGCGACGGCGGAGGAGGAGGAGTCCATGGAGTCGTCGCTGTCGCTGTCGGGCGGCGCCGCGGCGGAGGGGTCGTCGACGACGTCGCCGTTGTTGACGACGACGGCCGCACGGGGCGACGAGGCCGTGTCCGGGTGCGTCACCGAGGAGGAGGAGGACATGGCGCTCTGCCTCATGCTGCTCGCCAGCGGCGGCCACGGCGAGCGCGCGCCGGACGCCGAGGCGGTGGCGGCGAAGGAGGCCAAGTTCCGGAGCCGGCGGCCGGCGGACGGCGCCGGCGCCGGGGAGTTCGTGTACGAGTGCAAGACGTGCAGCAAGTGCTTCCCGTCGTTCCAGGCGCTCGGCGGCCACCGCACCAGCCACAAGAAGCCTCGCCTGGTCGCGCCGCCGGCGGCCATGGAACCGGCAGCCGATGACAAGATCAAGCCGACCATCCCGGAGACAGCCGCCGCCGCCGCCGAGGAGAAGCCGCCCAAGCCATCGCCGCCACGACCACCGGCCTCGAGGCCGATCGCCACCGATCCAACAGTGCTCGCGATCCCGGTGATCCCGAAGCAAGAAGTGCTCGACGCCACCAACTCCGCCGCCATTGCCAGCGTCTCCAAGCAGCCACGTGTCCACGAGTGCTCCATCTGCGGCGCCGAGTTCGCCTCCGGCCAGGCGCTCGGCGGCCACATGCGGCGGCACCGCCCGCTCATACCGGCGTCGGCGTCGTCCGCGGTGGTGTCCGTGCTCGACGCCGTCGACGCGCCGAGGCAGAAGGAGAAGAGCCTCCTCGAGCTGGATCTCAACATGCCGGCGCCCTGCGACGACGCGACCGCCGAGACGACGACGACGTCGTCCGCCGCCACCTCGCCGGCGTTCGCCTTCGCCGTCAGCGACAGGTCGCCGCTGCTGGTGCCGGCGGCGCTGGTCGGCTGCCATTACTAGCAGCACAAGCGACAGAGAGTAATTAAACACAAAATTCAATTCAAATTAGATATAATTCTCTGTTATTTCTCATTGCTTACACACTTCACACACACACACACACATACATACTCTCTCTTGTGATCTAAATATTTTTCTTCTTTTTCTTCTTCTTCTTCTTTTGCCATTCTAATTCCATTTGAATTTGTTCAAAAGATTGGGGAATTTGGAAAGGGTGATGTGAATTACAGCTACAGATGCTTGAAGTTTGACCTTTTGTGTGATTAATTCTATTGATTCATTCATTCACAGCTAATTAACCAGCTGGAGTACTGTCCCAATATATTCTGCTCTGTTTTTCCTCTTAATTAATTCTCTTATAATCACTAGTACAAATAGTACTACTACTTGATTTGATCAAAATTTGGATTGTTTGCACAAGATTTGATCAAATTAGGATGTGTGTGATGATGAGAGATTAGTAGTGATGAGTGCAAACGAGTGTAAAGTGGCAAGCAAGCAAGAGAGGGAAAGAGCTGGAAAAGGAGGCATTGTGCTCACGTAAAGGGAGTGATCTCTCTATCTCTCTTTAGGTGTGTGCTATTATGTGATCTCTCTCTCTTCCCTCTCTTTCAATGTCCCTCTCTCTCTCTCTACATTGTTGTCATCTACTAATTAATCCTCCTTTTGGAGGGTTAGCTTGGGTTTGGTTTGGTTAATTGCTTTGCAAGGTGAACATGCCTAACCCCAACTCTTCAATGCCACATTGGGTGATCATCCTCTTGGATCCTCTATAGTTTCCCAACCTGTGGCACACCGTAAACTCACACATTCTCTCACACGAACTCGCACTATCGACATCGTGTTGAATTCGCAATTTCATCCATATACAATTCGAAATAGTTAGATTTCATGATGCACCGATAATTTCTCATGTTCAAAACAACACTAGCTCTATACAACAATCATATTTTTCTCCTCCTACTTATTTTCTCTGTAGCATTGCATCTTGCACGATAGCATATACCGTACACATCGTGTCACCAATCTTTTTCACGATTTTTTCACAACATTTTGTATGCGGTGCGAGTCTTACATATAGATACTATGTTGGTACGGTATTCCTTTCGAAACGTGTAGGAGGCTTGATGAAAGAGTGGCATTATTTTTCCACTGGAAACGTGTAAGAGGAAGGAAGGAAAGAGGAACAGCTAATGAATGGTTTGGATTGGAAGTGTGATTAGTTGGGTGATTAGGAGTGTGGTTAGGAGGAGGAGGAGGTGGTGGCGGTGCAGAGAATCCGGGGTGAGCTCGTGCGGTGGGGGCAGTGGGGCCCACCCGGGGTTGGACAACGAGGCAACATGGTAACTAACTGGCACAGCTCTGCTCTGCTCCTGCCTGAAGGAAAGAAAAGAGTTGATGATCAGTGAGAGGCCCCCAACTCCAACCACCTGCTTGCTAACAATGTGTTAACAGTACATGTTAGTGTGTTTGTGTTGCTCCTCCACTCCCTCCCCCAACTTATATTACTATACTACAACTATGTATATTCCCAATTTCTCATGGCTTCTAGTATTATTGCCATCTCAATGTGTGTTTGTTTACAATATTTTTGGCATTGCAATTCTAGTAGTGGTATTGCATATTTAGTGCAAAGAATATTTTTGCATTGGGTTGATGGAGTGAGTTTGATAGAAGACTAACGAAGATATCAAAAAAGAATGAAAAATGCTTGTATGATGACATTTTGTACAACTCGCGTTCGTTGATAACAGTTCATATAGCGGATCACTTGCCAGTGGTCTTTAGTTTAAAATTGTAACAACCGCTCTATTCTGATACGAAATGGTACGGTGTAGATTAATCAGAGGCTTGTTCGGTTTAGAGTAATTTCAACTCATAGAAATAGGAAAAGTTGAGGAATAGTAAAGTATACAAACATCAATTCATAGGAATTTTTTCAAGAGGTTTGAGTTGTTGAAAATTTTCCTACGTTTTCTCTCTACAACTTGGAGGGAAAGGGAAAATTCCTTTGGTTTTTATATACCTCATTCCTACAAACCAAATGGCACTTGTAGGAATTAACCCTTAGGAATCCAAATCCTTTTGTTTTTCCTTCAAACCGCCTAAGAAGGTTGGGTTCTTTCATTGGTTGAATGGTTCGCTAGAAATGTGTGGAATTTGCTATAAATCTGAAAGAGATAAAGTGTATTGGAGAACACATAGACGAAAATGGTTAGTGCAACCGCTTCTTTGTTGATCAATAAGATGCATGGTAGAAATGGTCTTTCAAGAGAACTAATAATGGGGTTTGGTCTACATCACCTCCACCTTCCCAACCACACCAGTCTCAGGCATGCTACCATATGCTGTGCCATGCTTCATTGCGTTGAAAATTGATAGAACATGTGAACACTAACACTTTGCTTTGTGATCGATCGATCTTCAAAGTTTTAAGTAGGCCTTCCTTTTCGTCAACCACAGGTCTCCACGTGATAGTTCAATGCTAGACTCATGGATTTCATGGTTAACAAATGATTATTAATTGATTGTTCTCTTTTTTACAAATAAAGATCTTTTGACAATATAATCTCCATGGGTAACTAAAATTAAATTGTGCGCCATATATATGATTCTAATAACTAAACGTATATACTTCGAGGTTCTTCTACGTTCTTGGGAGGTATATATCTACAATTTTTAGAGTCTCATATGTTAGTTGCTATAGGATTTCTATATATTTTCTCCCATTTTCCCTTTTATGTCCTCGATGCTTAAATATTACTATGTACAAATCTTATCAATAAATTATATATCACTTTCTAATGTGTAATGTAGGGATGAAAACGGCTCGGAAACGAATGAAAACCACCTCTACCGTTTCCGTTTCCATATTTTTTTTTCAAAATCGAAATCCGAATCTGAATCGGAAATCTCGGATACGAAAACGTGAATATCATTAAATACGAAAGGCAGAGCGAATACAGTAACGGATATTATCGGAATATAAAAACCCTCAAAGTGAACATCTCAAATCAACAAACGAGATTTCGCTCTTTATCTTTTCTAAAATAATAAATCAACATTTCTATTTTTTATCAATTGTAATAATAATACAATTAGTTGTACGCTCTATAAACATAATTAGTATGGCATGACCTAAAAACAGTAGTTAGGCAAAAGAAAAACAGATCTAAAGAACCGTAGTAGAAAAAACATATTTTCATTCCACTAACCACCTCAATATACTCAGTAGAAATATGAACATCTAGAGTAGAGTAGGTAAGGCTGAAGCTAATTAGTTGTATATGAAAAGTTTTTCGTTTCCGGAAAATTTCCGACAATTCCGATTTCCGGTGGATAGTATAGCCTCACCATATTTGTTTCCTTTTCCAAAAACATGTCTGAAAATTGGAAACTTTTCAAACCATTTTCATCCCTAGTGTAGTGTCTATAAAAGAGATAATAATGTCATCATAACACCTTTTTAATCCCTATGCACAACTCTAGAATTAATGACCCACAATTTACATTTCGAATCAGAGTGAGAGAGTATACCATATGACTATATTTATAGAGTATATACATGATTATAATTGATTGGTTACACACTACTTTCAACAGCTGCACATCCCAATTATTACCTGGAAGAGATACATGCATTATCCCAAGCTAGCTAGCTAGCACATTGATCTGAAGAAAATCAAAATGAAATCTCTCCCAAATAAACAGAAGATGCATCGAAGTGGCCGGGGTGTTATGCATATGTTTAACCTGGAGATCGAGGAGTAATTAAGGCTGAAACTAAAGAGCGATCCATCTGTCACTATGCAAGTAGTGCATATCTCTAGCTGTGGAGTAAATGTCAGGTGTTTGAGATCAGAGCATGGCACATGCAAAGATTAGTTAATTTTTCTATATGCTTGTATACTTCATCAACTGGCCCTAATCTCTGAAGCATGCATACACATGCTAACCTACTGCATGCTCTAGTGGCATTATACTCTAATACAATTGAGCAACACTCCATTAATTAGGACTAGTCTTCCATTATCTCTAACTTGCCAACAACCAGGAAATTATAAATAGTAAATTGCTTTGCTTCAGAATTAATATCCCTATTATAAAACAAAGATAAATTAAAAAAGGGTCTCATATATCTCGCATTTTTTGAGCTAGCTTAATTAGACCATCCATATACATGAGATCAGTTTTTAGCATATTCTTTTCATTGACAAGCTAGTTTTTCTCAGTATTATTCATATATAATACTATACTCAGCTGACCTAATATGTATTTCTATACCTGCACAATTCGATCTTATCTCTCAACTCTCTCTCCATTTTTTTTCTACACACAAAAAAGCAATTCTTGTTGCTTTCTTGCAGAGCATGACCTAAGAGCTCCGTGCAACTTTCAGTAAGATATGTACTTATCTTTCTGATGAGATAGCACTGGACCTTTCATCTGAATTAATTTACAAACAGAAGACTTATCTTCTGATGGGGTTTCAGAACAAGAGAAAAAAAGTCAAGACACATGTGTTTGTGTGTGTGTTGTACTAATAGTGGTGGGTGCTGTTAGCTCAAGTTGATTAGCAGAGTGTCACCTACTAATTAAGAAAGGAGAGAGAGAGAGAGAGAGAGAGAGAGGCAGTGAGTGATCAGTGAGAGCAGCTGGATTCAGCTGAAGAAGTAGTAGCAGTGCTAGTGGAGTGGAGTGCTTCACACTCTCAGCAAAGTGGACTTCACTTCCAGTGGCATTAAAGCAGCAGCAGCAGCAGCCACACTCTCTTCCAGTAGTTAGAGGTCGTTGGAACCTACTGCCTTGTGGGGCCCACAATTAACTGCCCCCCTCCAAGCATCCATATGCCACAACAATTAAAATGCTATGTACACACACTGTTACACCAGCTTCCAAAAGGTTTTGTGAGAGCTGAAAAAAAAATTAAGGTGCTACAGTAGTAGTACATGAATGTACACTCTGTGGTGTGTGGCATTAAATATATATTTTATGCAAGCTTTTTTTGTTATACCAAAAGGTTAGTATATATGGTTAGACCTAAAGCAATAGTGGTACTATGTGATCAACCTTGATTGACTCCTTGAGTCATTAAATTAGTGGGAGAACTAAAGCATGTGGAGCATACTCTTTGTACTTTAATAATATCCAGATAGGAGGATCCGGTATTTTTATTCTACTTTCATTTTTTTTATTTGAAAAGATTCATGGATTGTCTCAGTTTAACAAGGTTCACTTACATATTTGTCATTGAGAGTTATGAGGTTACATACTTGCCACTTAAAAGGAAAAAAATGCGCCA